CCGAACCTAAATCTTTCCGCTATGAACAATGATATAATTATGATTATTATTATTGCTTTTTTAACTAGTTCTCGTTCTTTCCTTCGCTTACTCAATCAATAAAGTCAAACATTACATATACGAGCATTTAATTGAACGGCGCTGAGGCTTCATATTCAAGGGATAGCTTGTCGGTGCTTTCTTGGTTTAGCTTGAGCGACCTCTGGCGCCGCTTTCAGGCAACCGTCCAACCGGTGCATAGAAAACGTTATATTGGTAGCAGGCACATATCTGCTATTTCGTTAAACCCCTTAGAGCTCTCGTACCGCTTTTTGCCTATTGATAATGATTAGATATAATTCATGTACTGTGATAATATGTCGCTTAAAATAAAACAGTTTGCAGCCACAATATACTGTTGTTACACAATTGTTACAAAATAGAAACCATTAGCAACGGGCACCCAAATCTCCCATCTTACACAGAGGTACGAACTGAGCGAGAGGGATAAGTTAATTGAATTGTCGTCAAAATGCGACAAAACGCTTTCATACCTTAATATACACTCGAACTATAGAGCCTACCAAAAGGAAAACAATAAGCGTAATACATTTGGGTGCCTGAAAAAGTTTGAAAGTAGAAATTAACAAACCCCAATACAACAATTCTTCGCGATGACCTGAAGAGCGGATATCGAAGGCTCAAAGAGCGATGCCGCTACGAACGGTTAGCCGTGACAAGTCGGTTATCCCTACGGTAACCTTTTGACGCCTCTTGCTCAAAAAATCCTAAAAAATAAAACATCGAGGGACCATGCTTTCGATATTTTTTTTGCTCCATGCGAAATCTCTATTCTCGCCGAGCAGGCCTTAGGACACCTGCTTTTATTTTAAATGTCTGAGTGCCGACACTGCTTTGACATACTGCAATACTTTCCAACGGTTTCCACCAATTTTTTGAAAAGGTAGTAGTTTTTTGGAACATCCACCCGTTGATTTGTAGGTGTCCAGCCTGCGTTCTGTGATTAGCGTTGATAGGATGATAAGTTACAATTCTAATTGGTCCGCGTATTAGAACATCATTGGAGTCTCTATCCAATGGAGTATAGTAAGAGTCGTATCGAGTAGCAGTGGAAGCGGCAAGTCGTTACCTTAAGCAATTTCTCTACTCCAATACCTATGGCGCGTCGATAGACTGCTCCATATTTTCAAAACGTTTTTAAATGAATCTGGCAAGGTAACGACTACATAACCTAACAGGGGCTGTTAGTCAAACGTTACAGAAGAACGCAAGAGGATATGTGGTATACTTTCGCATTTTCTTATCACTGTACACATACTAAAGGCGTTTCTGTTTATAAAGACGTGTTTATTTTATCTTGAAATAATTACATTGGGCCAAAAATACAACATGTGATTTTCTGTTTTTTATTCATAGTAATAGGTTAAACAGCACGACGATCGTCTCGTATCGCTCAAATAAAAATAATACTCTTACAACAATAACAGCAGTAACGCTAACAACAATATCGGTACATTCATATAGATAGCATCATTATTAGAAGAGACACGATATAAGCTATTAGCCTTTATTTCGTTAACCGCGTTCGTTTTGTTCTTCGTCTATCTGCATTGTCCGATTTCCTTCGTGCTATTTCAGATGAACCGTCGTCCTTCTGCCTGGTCTGCCCTCGGGCCGGGCAAAACGTCTCGTGCACGAAGCTTGTGCCAACCCGGTCGTTCTTGCTACTGAATTCTCTGGTGGGCACAACAGCAAATTTTATTCTTTTTGTGAAGTCCGCACGAGGCACGCTCGTTCGTTCGCTCGCTCGCACGGTCCAAGTAAATGCTCGCTCCGACGATAGCCACCACAATACGTGACAGCATACAGCTCAACAGAAAGCGCTAGCTTATGCCTGTGCTGTTAGTATTCAGGAATATCATTTGCAGCAATAACAACAATTAGATTCTCTCTCCTTCCATTACAGAACACAAGGAGAACATTTTCCACAGAACTGAATTTCGTAGTCCTTTTTTTTTGCATCAGTAAAGCTCTGGCAGATTTCGTGTATCTTCAAATGTTTTCATTGTGAAATTTTGAGCATTTTTGAAATGTGACGGACAATCTGATGAATGACTAAAGTCCTTCTAGAAGGATCTTGACCTGGTCAAATGGGCTTGCCCAACAACAGCGAAAAACTTCGCGACACAAACTTATCAAAAAATTATAGTAGAAATCTTCTAACATTAATCACTAGAGGATATAAAGTATACACTGTGTCTCGGTGTTATCGATTCGCTATCACTGAACATAATCTAAATTGTTTTCGCTGCCATAAATCCGAGAAATACAGCTCAGGTAAATGTTGTGTCGGTTTACCGATCAATGAAGCTGATCCGATTTTATTCTGTTCCTTTGTTTCATTTTATAGAGGCAAGGCCGCCGTATCAATCGGCGGTAACGATACCTGAGCCACGGAGGCCAGGCGATCATCGATCGGTCAGCAGTCGGTGGTCGCTGGCAACGGAAATCTCAGTTCACTCCAGATCATCGATCTGGCAGAACGGAGCTCAAACACGCATTAAGTTAAAGCGTTCTCGTCGTCGTCGTTGTTATTATTCTCTTCTGCTCCAGAGGCTCACTTGTACTCGACGATGGCAATGGCGGTGACGCTACCGACGTCCGGCGTGAAGGCATCGTCACTTTTCTATACGGTCGAGGTGGGAGATACGACGTTCACCATCCTGCGCCGCTATCAGAACCTAAAGTCAATCGGGTCCGGCGCGCAGGGTATCGTGTGGTAAGTCCCGTAACTTCCAGCTGAAAAAGAGCGCCGGTACATCACAGATTTTTTATAAGTGAATTGTCGAAAAATTGAACAACTAATAATTTTCTATCTAATTAATTTTGCACTATATAATGCTATAACCTAGTCTATAGAAGTATTTTTCATAATGATTAATTAGGCTCTAAACGGTGCCTTAAGAGAGTAGCACCTCTATGACAGTATTACAGCCATTATTATAACGTCCATGATGGATATAAATTCCTTACTGTGCGCACATTTTGGTAATTATAAATTACATTTACCTGAACCATATAGGGCTCAAATTTCTAAGGAGCTCGAAAGTGCTTTTGACCTTTAAGCCTAGCGAATAGGATATCGGCCGACCTCTACAGAGCCTGCCACCTATTTCCAGCGTTTCAAACATTGAACATTCCTAGATGCATTTAGTCGCAACGTGTATTGATCAACCCTTCTTTATATCATGGCTGGAAAAGGACTGCGTGAAAAAGCGTGTGACCAACACGCAAATCTGCATGCCAGATCGCTATACAGAAGTCCCATAGCTTTTCATGGACATAATAGTAAAATATAGCAGAGCGTCGTATGTCAACGTTTCTTCGTGAAGAAATACTTGTACTTACTTTCCAATGCAAAGCAGGAATGTATACTTATCAAGTATAGGCAACGCTCATGACCTGGGAGTCGTAGCGTGTACGTACACCAGAATGTTGGCACCGACAAAGGCTCTTTTGAAGTACCTCGGTGCAGTTTGTCACACACTGTTATGGCATTGTAAGCTGATTTGGTTCTATTCGACGATTCTACTTTAGAAAACTACGAATGATAACATTTTTGATGCCATACGATAATACCAATGCATAGCTTTTGTATTGATTTAGACAAGGGTTAATGGTACTTTGTAGCGGTTTTATACAGTTCAAATCAACGCACTTATACAGCAAGACGCAACAGACATGTAAAATATGAAAAGGAAGAATAAGGTCAGCCCAATTTTTGCGTAAGACCTAAATTGCCGGTCACTGCTTTCCGGTATAGATTCACAGCTGAGAAGTTCAACACTACGTGGCGCGTCTAGTGCAGGGTATCCTTGCTATAACAATGCTTCTAACAGATATTGTAATATCAATATGGCTGTTTTGGAACTCTATTGGCTAGAGCCTTGACCTCTCAACTAAGGTTAACTGTATAAGCCGTTATCAGGCATGCATGAAAAGCATATAGAATACGCCCTCTAAAGGGCTCCTATTTTAATGCTCTCTGCCCGCATAAAAAAATCTGCTAGTCCTTTTGTGCCATTCAAGTTTTAGGGACAGCAGCCTCAAGAATTTCAGATACTGGTCGCGGAAGTGTTTAGAAACACTTTTTAGAAGAACAATTTAGACTGCAATGAGCAGTTTTATTCTCTGAAAGCAGTGCAGGTTAGAATAATTGGCCAGTGTATCTCACACAATTAGATATCGCGGTACTTATGAAATATTCACTGATTCGTGTTCGAATCTCTTTAGTTTCTCTTTTTTCCAAAGATCAGGGCTCTTAGTATAAACGTAAACGGAATGGAAGAATCGTGTACTTAAAGAGTTCGCTCTAAGTATCCTAAATACCGTACCCACACTTAGCTCCGCTAAAGTTAGCTTACTTCATAAAAAAAAGTCACGCAACTCTGTTTATTCCTAGTAAGGAAAAACATCCACGCGAAATAAATGTCGTAGAAGTAAATAAATATGGGCTTCGAAATTTCACGCCCATTACGGCCCTATTCTGATCGCGGACAAACGGAGCTGTACGAGAATTCGCTAGTCATTGGGAGCTGCGTCTAGTTCTAATAACCCAATACTACATACATAATACTTACTTAGATGTGAAACTTATTAAGAAATGTTATAGATCATCAAAAAAGGATGACATATTTGTACGTAGTATCGATAATTGTAAAGTGTACATGATGCTTGTCCCTTCGCTAGTTCCTAGGTAAGTGCCGTCTGTGGCATGTATACATGGCTCCGTCCCTTAAATCTAGCTTTTCTGCCAAGCGCTTGTTCCGTCCGCCGGGAAGCAGTAGCTGAATAAAGTTTAGGGATTCTTAATTCAAGTCGGTGATGAGCGACATGTGATCTATGATAATGACTTAAGAGTTTTAGCGACATAAAATTGCTGTTGCACAATATGGACCCTTTTATATTAGCAGTCCCAGGCACATATTTTATATTGTTGCCAATAAAATTGATACGGTCATTTTGTAGGGTATTTGCAAAGTTCCAGACAATCATCGTTCTGCACTGTTTGGCTAGAAGTCCCTCTTTTTTTTTACTGGTATCTTTGTCAATAGCTCCCTTTTTACCTCTCGTTCGGTTCCCCCGAATCAGTTTTGGCTTGAGGCTTTTAAGGATGTCAGTTTTTCATCAACTGTATCGCACTGAAAAAAAACTTCGCTAATTTGACCACTCTACTTCAGAAAGTTAAAGGTTTTTCTTGATGATGTCAGCAACATCTATTACTATATTATTCAAACGAGTGTAGCTGTTTGAATCGGTAGAGCTTGGAAAGGGTCGTCAAAGTAGACCAAGTTTTGCAGCATCGAAGTAAAATTTTTGTTTGCTCTTCTGCTGTTGCACGCTGTCATCTGTTTACAAACGATTTAACCATCATATAAAATAGCTTAGTGAGTAACGTATTTGCCTACTTGTCTTAAGGACGCGTTCTGCCCTAGGTTCGAACTCGGGTACAAACAGACTTCGTTTCAAGCTGTGTGGTGAGTCAGCCGTTTGACGGAATGTCCAACCGCGATACCAAATATAGAGCTCGAAACGTAGAGGTGAAAGTGGGAAAAAGGGTTTAATATTTGAAGTTTGGCGGCATGTCTGCAACGAACCTATCGCAATACAAATACAATAGGAAACAATGCTAGAAAACAGACATCAGCAATTTCCGAGCAGAGGCTAACGGGTGGTTTTACCTTGATGATGCCTTGTTGTACATACCTGCTTGTATTCCACACTATCCTATAGAAGCTCCGTTGAAATGACTAACGTAGCTTTGGCATCGTTGCTTTTCCTTTACGTAGCGCGGCATACGACTCGATGACCGGCAAAAACGTGGCGATCAAAAAGCTCTCGCGACCGTTCCAGAATGTCACTCACGCCAAACGCGCTTATCGCGAGTTCAAGCTCATGAAGCTTGTTTCGCACAAGAACATTATAGGTATCTATTTAATCTGTACTAAAATTTTACTCGGCAGGGAAATGATAACATGTAAATTTTTCCATAGACTCGATTTCCCTAAAACTTAAGCATATAAACTTTTGCAATTTCTCTAGGGCTTACGTTTGCGTGGCACATATTCTGCTAGCTTTAAACATCATTCATTCGTAACTTACAAGCACCGCATGTTTGCTAAATAACATGTGATTCAAAAAAAAAGTAAACTGCCAAAAATGTTAGTTCACAATTTGTTTAACTGAAACAATATGGACAAACATAGTGGTCGTGAAAAGTGCTCCGAGTAATCTCATTAAAAGATAATACCTATTCCTGATTTATTGTTTGTGTTGGTTTGGCAAAGGCCTGCTGAACGCGTTCACCCCGCAACAGTCCCTGGAGGAGTTCAGCGATATGTATCTCGTCATGGAACTAATGGATGCGAACCTTTGCCAGGTAACTGATTCTGACGAATAGCGTGCCTCTTGCGAGACGTTAGCAGCCACACTTACCGCTGCTCGCAGCTGATAAATTAGTTTTTACGTAACAAATACAATAAATCATTATAGACGACCTTACCAGCTGATGCTGCACACACGCTTTTCGCCTTTAATTCATGTTCTACTAAATGCTACAGGTGATACAGATGGACTTGGATCATGAGAGGATGTCTTACCTTCTTTATCAAATGCTTTGTGGGATTAAGCACCTTCACTCCGCCGGTGAGGATCCTATTGAATGTCATGTTTTACTGTTCTAATAATGTTCGTTATGTTTAATTTGCCCGAGACGGGGTCCAGGGTAGAGACTAATCGTTAACTACCCTATGTTATTTCGTTTTATTGGCTAATGCACAGGTATAATCCATCGTGATCTGAAACCGTCCAACATCGTGGTAAAGAGTGACTGTACTTTGAAGATCTTGGACTTCGGGCTGGCGCGAACAGCAGGAACGAGTTTCATGATGACGCCATACGTAGTAACAAGGTACTATCGAGCCCCTGAGGTCATATTAGGTGAGTAGCCTCGTACTCTTGAGCTTTTCATTACGATACGTCCATAATACTATATCTTATTAGGTAACTGTAATATTATCAGATAACCTACACATTAGGGCTTATGTATGGTGCACAACCCAATGCATTATATGTGTATATACGATGCTTATCCAGGTATGGGATATAAGGAGAATGTGGACATTTGGTCGGTGGGTTGCATCATGGGAGAAATGATTCGGGGAGCAGTGTTGTTCCCAGGTAGTGACCACATCGATCAGTGGAACAAGATCATTGAACAACTAGGCACACCGAGCCGGGACTTCATGCGAAGGCTGCAGCCCACTGTGCGCAATTACGTCGAGAACAGACCGCGCTATGCGGGCTATTCGTTCGAAAAGCTTTTTCCGGACGTACTATTCCCCGGCGATTCTGGAGAGCACAGTAGGCTTAAAGCCACCCAGGCTCGCGACCTACTTTCAAAGATGCTGGTGGTCGATCCCGACAAACGGATTTCTGTCGATCAGGCCCTCGAGCATCCGTATATTAATATTTGGTTAGTAACATATCTCTTGATCCGCAAATAATGCCTTACTATTATCCCTCCGTAAACAATGAAGCTTCACTGCGCGCTCCTCTTCTTCTTTGACAGACGGAAAACCATCAATTTCGTTTGATAGTTTGGCGATAGGGTGGTTGCTATGTTTCATTACACAAGTAAGCAACCAAATTCGAAACATTTTATCAAATAGGTACGACGAGGAGGAGGTTAACGCGCCTGCGCCGGCATCGTATGATCACTCCGTGGACGAACGCGAGCATACAGTGGATCAGTGGAAAGCACTTATTTATCAAGAGGTATTATGATTTGCGCATACTGAAATATAATTTTCGAATTAATGCTTAGACTAGGTAAAAGGCGGTAGTTAGAATATTTCGCAAAACTTATTAGGTCCTCTCATATTCTATTCTTGGCTTGTGTGTTACAGGTATGCGAATATGAACAGAGGCACAATACGCTTGGAGCGTCGTGTTCGGCAGGACTCGAGCGACAAGGGTCGCAAGGTTCGCAGGGTTGTGCACAAGCTAACGTTGTGTCAGCCTCTGGAACCGGCACTGCACATAACGCCTCGGGTCAGCAGACAACTGCCGCTGCCAATGTCGTTGCGTTGCCGCCCACGACACCCGCTGTTACTGGTAATTATGATTATTTATTATTAATGATAATGCTTATTACAGGAGGCTATTGATGAAAGGGTAATCATTTTGAAATCCAGATGGCCGAAACAGTCAGTCAGTCAGTCAGTCACCGAAGGAGCGTAACTGACAGTTGTTAATATCATAGCTGTCCGATATCCAGCAAGCGAAAAAAAATGTTTTCGATTTTAGGCTTGGTTAAACAAACAATCCGTCACAACCGATTTGGGGAAAACTTATATCTAGTACAAACACGATCAAGCTCAAGGCTCAAGATGGAAGTGCGATACCAAGCCAATCTCTGCACGGACCTATACGTCAATTTGCAACGAGCGCTGTAAAACTACGCATATAGTCAAGATCCTAACGTGCAGACTCATCTGACTATCGTTAGAACATGTAAAACTCTGACATTGTTTACCTGTCACAGCTGTAAATAATTTTATGATCGGGCTGATAGTAGTGTTACCATTGTAACGCTGCTGTTGTAAAAGTAGATTCAGGAAACGCAGCGTTTCAAACATCGATTTCGGAATAATTTGTAGCCGGACTACGCTCAAAATCTTCTACTGTGATAACCAACAAGCTTACAAATAAAAACACACACGAGCCTAAGTTATACTAAGGCGCGGTTAGACCGCAAGATGTAAAAAGGCGACAGAATTTCAACTGAGCGTATTAAGCTGGGCTAGCGCGGCCACCATAGTCGTTTTTACTTGTGGCCTTTTTTCTTTTTTACTTTTTCTTTAGTTTTTAATTTACTTTATTCAACGGAGCATGTGGCCTCCTGCTATATTTACTCAAAGCTTGATCTCAAAGTACATACCAGTTAACAAACAGTCTGAGTCTATAGTGTTATCTATAGGTACTTTCTGGGTAAGTCCCATTTAATCCAACTCGTGGGGCTATTGTTATAGAGACATTCACACATTCTCCATTTTGCATTATAACGGCCTTTGAGAACCATGCTCTTCTCGATCTACAGTTTTTGGGTTAAATAGCGTTCTCCGTGCGGAGTTAGATATAGAAAGTTATCTAGTCGGATGTTTTTAGCTGTTTGTATCAGCTACAGCTGCTAACGACACCGTTTTCGATTAACGCAAACAAAAACAGATAACGCCCTTAACCGTTTAAACCCAGCGCGTTCCATCGTTAGAGAATGGTATTTAGTCGTTCGAACTAAAATAATTTTCGTGGTGTATGTATGTATGTATGTATTTATTACGCAACCAAATTATATAATTGGTACACTTCATGTCTTGCATGTATACGGAACTAGCTATTACATTCGTTTTTTGGTGAACATTGGTGCTCCTGAGTAACGTTTTCTGGCAGCTCTTATCTAGCCGACTTTGGTCGTGTGTTACGTACGTTACGGAATTGCCCTGCGTAATACATATCAATTTTTACGAATTTTTAGGTTCGTGTTCGTCCGTGGCTGGTGGTGCTCCTGGGGGCAATGCAACCTGTGTTGCTCCAAATGGGACAACGGCCACAAATGCCCCGCAATGAGATGAAAATGCTTTCCGACCAAGTGCTTTTACAAACTGCTTCCGAAGACACTTGACAGATATTTAATTAAGACATTGGCCATTGGAAGGGTCACTCCGTCAGTTGGGTGATCAGTTAATCCGATCAGCTACCTCACAACGGCAGTTTACTCTGACGTAGAGGATGGACCGTTTTACGCGGCACAGCATGCTGCCTGCAGTTAAGAAGCAAATAGATTCCTGCATGACGGACTTTTTGGACGTATCCGCTCTGTGTGCCGAGAATCAGCATCATGCAACCAACCAGATGCTGTTAAGGATCACAAAAAAAAATAATCATAACAGTTGACCATACACGTGTTGCGCGTTGATGAGATCTAGTAAGCGACTCTATATATATATATATATATATATATATATATATATATATATATATATATATATATATTAGGCAACGAGTGAAATGAAATAAGGAATAGGCGCGTGACAAACATACGTGACGTGTCCGCAAATCACTTTGGCCATCCTGCCGCTATTTGAGGAGGAAGAGTATCATTTTTACCGGTCGATTCATTGATGGATTATTAATTTATCAGTTGACTGACTGAGCGAGTGATTGATTGGCTAAATATAAGGATAATGGTAAATTGATGATGATTGAGAGACAGGTATAAATAGTTATTGCCAACTAAGGAGAACGAAAGTGGACACAGGACAACATAGAAGGAAGGGTGGCATCCTATTGCAGACTCGGTACTTCGCTATGAGACGAGTCTGCAAAAAAGCTAAATATATTCAACTAAATCTCAGATTCTCGCCTCACCAGAACGCTATCTTTTTTGTATCTGTTTAGTAAACATACAAATGCTGATAGGTTGCACTTCACGCAAATTATTTGACAAACTGTAATGATGATGATGATGATGATGATGAACATAAAGCGAATCTATGGGTCGATTGGGTAGCAAATTTATGACTGAAGTGTGTTGATCTACCTATTATGTATTACAGATAATAGTTGGGTTACGACAGTTGCCGAAGCAACGCCATTGGTGTAATTTAAGAAAGCTCGGTCTTGGCGCATATACATATAAGAAACACTTAGTTTAACAGATAATTGAGGACGAACTACCTAATGCCTGTATGAATGATGTAAATGTCGATTCTGGGCCGGCGCGCCCCTACCAAGTGTATCACAAAATGGGAACGTAATTGGTTAAGAAAGTGGGAATTACTTGTGAGTGCTCGCCTGTGTGTGCGTGTATGAGGGTGAAAGGCAGAAAGAAAAGCAGACGAACAGACGGTATAGTGTCTGCAACGCAGGTGCTAATAGCGTCTAATGCGTCGCAAATGAACTACTATTATTAATGCATGTGCTACACTGTTGTGAGACGTGTGTTTTTGTGTAAATTATGCGCGATTTATCCTTATATAGGACCCGGTGAGTTTGTGGGCCTTTGGTACGACTGAATATACGCATGAAAGAACGAAAGAGAGAAAGGGAGAAAGTGAGTGAGAGAGAGAGAGAGAGAGAACAAGAGAAAAACTACGTGAATTTCGATCTCTACCGATGATAAATGACAGACCAACCGGTGACTAGGCATATCTGCTTGCCCTGACGTTCTCTAGGCTCGATTGGCGAGTGATTTGCTTAGAAAGGCGAGACGTTCAAGTGCTGGCCTATCGCGAAGGAATAACGCCATGAGGCGAACGAATATGTGCCAAATCCGTTGACGGTCCCCCTATTTTACCGCTGCTCGCTTGGCTGCCTCCCAGTCAACTGAAAGAATGAGAAGCAGCCAACGCTATTTCAGCTTTTTTGCAAATGACAAGAGAGGAAAGCACCTGAACACAATCTTGACCCAACTGATTTGCACCCCCCTTTTCAGCACAATCCACCATTTTCGACGAACACCCACAACATAATACCATTGCTTTTCTTTCTTCATATTTAGTAAGCTTCCAGGGTTGACCGTTCGTATCCCTCTCAATGGAAGAACAAGCTAGTGTTAACTTCGTCTATATTTCCTCAGTTGAATGCATTGTTCCCTTGCTTTATTCCTTATAGCCCTTAAGGCGAGAAATGGCTCGTCTGATGAATCGTTGCCACATTAAAAGTAATTCCTGTACCGCTCAAAGCTGTCTTCTCCAAATGAAGAACACGTCGGGTGAGCCCGTTAGTGGATCATAAAATACGGTTATGCACAGTTTTTGCTAGTCGAATAATGCTATGAACAAAAGTAGCAAAGTTATGCCACATTTAGTACTACTACCAGACCCATGATGTAGATCCATCCTGTTTGAAACCATAGACATCTCTATAGCAACAATACCTATTATCCATTTTGACTTAGAAACATGTATGCAGATGATCCTAAAGTGAGCTTGCCAGTAGTGCTAGTAGTAGCCGAACGTCGTCAATGACGATGACGATGATAATGATTATTACTTCAATCAGCGTCAAAGCGACAAAAGTATGGGCAGAAACCACAGTTAAAGACTGTATGGCAGACAAATACCTGTGCTTAATTACAGCAAAAATGTATGACGACGGTGACGAGGCGATAAATGTGTCTGAGTACATAGAATTGTGAATGAGAATCGAAAAAGCGCCAATGTCGACTTTTCTCACAGCCCCTCAACCCAATAACCTAGACGATTCACCGTAGACCGTAGATCAGATGTAGTTTTGATTTCCTGAGGGACTCGCTGAAGAGTACTAGATAATAATAATAATAATAATAATAACAATAATCATACCAATACTGATCACTGATAATAATAATAATGATGAATAGCTCGGCGTGCGCGCTCGAATAGTACAAACAATCATAGGAAGAAGATTTAGTGCATAGACACACATTAACACCCATCGAAACAACCATCCACAAACAAGCATAGGCGTGTCGACGTATCAGCACGCTTGTATACGAAGACAACGTTATATTCGTATGTTTATGAACCGAAAAGCCGCAACACTAACTGGGGGAACGCCCTGAGTCAGCGCCACACATAGAAATAGCACGTTTATTGGAATTACGTTCGCGTCTCTCTTATACTGCTTGCTGAAAGACCGATCAGAGCGGAAGGCAGGTATCGTTCCGAAGGCGAATCCGATATCTGATCAGAGGGAGGAAGTCCATGGAGGTGTTTCGCACGAAACAATTCTAAATCTAGACTTATTTTTAAATCCTGTGGTGTAACCGATTGGACGGTCTGTGCAACGATGCATTTCTTTCTCTCTGTCCAAAGGGTTTGAGACTAATTAGTTTTACCTTTGACACAATTTCTATTACTGACAACAATGGACTCAGGTATAAACTTAGCACGAAAGTTATCCTTGGTAAGGAAGTTACATAATAAAACGGCTTATTAAATTATCATTATATCAATATTTTGACAATGGAAGTCCGAACGGCAAAAGTGAAACGACAAGTCTTGGCCGATCATTTCCGAGAACCACCGTGCAATATTTATCCCTACAGACCCTTTTATATGATCGCGACTCAGGGCGACGAAAAACGCTAGAATGAATCAATCAATATAACTTGATGTGGTGTGAAGTGTGTAAGGGGTGGTCTCGACGAGGGAGTAAGCCACGGTAGATAGCGATTAGACCGCAACTCAGAAGAAAGAAAAAAAAAATACTAGATTATTTAATAAAAGCAAAAATGGTAACACTCACTTTTCAGCTGTTACTATAAACAACTAATTATATGATAACAATTTTTAGGCAGTGAGTTGATGATGACAAAATAAAGTACTGCCTTTATTTAGACACAGTGTAGCTATACAAGATACATATTTGACCACCTAACAAGCGGTTATTTAATTAACAGGGGCTTATTTCATGTTCAATATTTACGAATATCTTTCTACCACGAACCAAGCGAATTATCATTATTCCCTGTGGAGGAGCTTATAGGAAAGTGTTGGAGCCCGGTGAACAATGCGCAGCGATGCGGTGATTCATTGCCAGATACCGGAAATGGCGTTTCTGTGTACGGGACGACCGTCCAGTCCAAGAATCCCTTAGAAACTATCATTCGCCAGGCGGGAAATAGGAGAAGATTCAAATTCGAAATCGTAGCACAAACAAGTTAAACATAACGAGTGCGTCTGTGACGGTAGTTCGCCTGCGATGCGAGGTAAACCATCTCAAGTGGGTATAACTGCCTTCAGCTTGTCAGCGCTTCAAGCCGGAAGCCTCTAGTCACGTGAAACGTGTAACAACGTAACCTGTTATTATATTAGTAATTATGGTAATGCTAATAGTAGTGATTACATAAACATGGGCGTGCGGAAACTGATACAAATAAACAATAAGAAACGTCGTAGAGGTGCACACCCGCACACATACAAGCACACAACACTCACGGCAAAATAGACGGCGGAATTTCACAACAATTGCTCATAGTCGGTCGATCTCTCTCGCACTGTCACTGGCAATATTAACAAAAACAAATAGTATTTTTATTATTATTATAGCTATTACGCATATATAGGGTATCAATGTAGGAAAATGATACAATTCTATCAATGAGTGGAATGTAGCGTACACAGGGTGCCGAAACTTGCTCCGTATCAGGCCAGGGATAAAACGAAAGCATGGGATGATTTCACGCAAACATGACGATTAATTGAAACGTAATTAGTAATCTTGAATCGGAGAGTAAGTGGTATGGAGTACAGAGTAAACAAAGTTTTCATGATGACATTTGACGATCGTGCATTGTGTTATATTATTACAATTTTGTGTGTTTTTCGAACGCATACAGCAGGCAACTTGACAAGCTGTGCACACTTTGAGAACACGGGTGTACGAACATGCATGCATGCATACATACATACCTACATACATACATACATACATTGCACGTTACAAGAAAGGGTTAAATGGCTAAAAATGTTGACATCGTCTAAATTTATAGGAACGACCATCATTTAACTAACAGAACATAAGCTATAGTATTTTAGGTGTTCGACAAGTCCCAATGAAGCCGTTACGGCTTATTAAGTTGGTACGTGCGGACGGATCATGAAAAGATCTTGTCTTCTTTACTTGACGAGAGTTGTTGTGGGCGAAACGTTTGATGCAGACACACACACATGTACGCAAACCCGGCAAATTACAAGTAGAATTATGAAGATGACGATTGTGATACTGCTGCTGATAATGTCTGTCCTAGCCATAGTGTCAATTATGATGACAAAAGTAAAATAACACTAACACTATTGTCGAGTGAATACTAATAAGAGCAATAGATGCTGAAGAGGTCCTAGGCGACGCAAAAACGTGCCCAGTTCACTACGGCGAATTGTACGTCGACTATACGTGGACGTCATGAACAAAAAGGAACAACAACATTGAGGATCACGCGCTTCGCTTGGGAAGTTAAAAAAATCGTGACTAATTACTCTATTACTGTGAAACGGTTTACTAATCGATACTGAGCAAGTACCATTAGCAAATGCTGACTCTAACTTTTGCGTGAGTGATGAGATACCACCCGCATCATATTCGTTTAAACATTGTAAGACAAATTGCAGGAACCAAGCATGAGGTTGGCCATAACACGTGCCGGAGCAAAATAAGTTATCACAGTAGATCTATAGACTAATAGGGCGCGTCGTTAGATTTCCTAATTTTCACTATCTCTGACCACAGACGCCGAAATAGAATTTACAACGGACTATAATAGTTCGTGATCGATGCCAGTGACCGCAGTGCTGTGCGAAACAATTGTACTGATAAGATAATTTCTTATCACTTTGAAAAATGGCGGCAAGTTCCACTAGCGTATTGTATTTTGCATTATTGATATTTGTCCACGACGTCGTCGGCAACATGTTCAATTTAGATGGGGTAATCCAGTTCTCAGAAAGGGGCAAGCAATGAGAGACACGCAAACACTGGAACAGTATCTAGATAATTCGTATCATTCTCGGCCGCCATGCGAAAAGAAAGACATGGCAACAACGGGCCAGCTGATGAGAGCAACAAAATCGAGATCAGCTGGATAAAGCCATCAACAGTACGTCGTCATCATCGTCGTCGTTCTCATATTCGATACGTATAATACATCCATCATTATATATAAACACAGCAAGTCTCTTACACATCGGATGACACAGTGTAATAACAATCGACGAAAATTAACACAAAATAACACCTAAGAGAAAAAGAGCCAGCCGATGTGTTGCGCGACCTGACGTGCAGCCGAACGCCGATTGCTTAAATGAGTAAAGGTGAAGTGGGACGCAGAGCTGCGCGGTAGATACGATCACTTCCATAGCAGTAGCAACAATCGTATACCGTATGATCGGATAGAGAACATCCGCCTATTTACACGATCGTAAATAATGATTCTTCCTACGACTATTGCTCGTCTAACAATGTAATGTTTCACTTAGCAAAAAATAAATTTGTATCGATGTGACTTGATTATATAATATGTAACATATATTTATTTCAACAAGAGTTGGCTTGTCGGCAAGGGGCTTTCCGCCCGAACTCGCTTGATTTTGCATTGTCCAGCTTTCCTGTTGTTCTTCATACTTTGTCCTGCTGTACCTTGTGATGACGATTAATTTAATGTACACTGCTGCTGTACACTGTATATTGGTATTCCGTGTAGATAGCTAGTCTGGGGTCACCCCGCACGCTCCACAGAGCAAGCAGTAATAGTAATAATAATATATCTAATTAAAAAAGATTATAATATAAATAATGACCACCCTGATAATGATGCTGACCAACGTAACACTGAAGGAATACAATAGAAGGAAGTAAATAAAATGCCAACTCGACGACCGATGCATGCGTGTTCTTGCATAGGTATTCGTAGTGCAAATGCGCGATGGCATCTAATGCAGGCATCCAATAGATTGGCCATATCGTAAAACACTCAAAGCTAAATTAATATCGTTTGTTGCCTGATGGAAGGTATATAGTGTTTCGGATGTAACATCTCCCCCAAGAACATTCTGCACAAAACGTTCTATGTACATTCGATAACAATAGCAACTTACGCGAAAGCAAGCCATATTAAACCGTCAATGTCGGCGGCCATTTGCAAGCTCGTCAGCGCTTTTAGGGAAGAGGCAGCACAGAGCACCGCAATTGGGCTTCTGATACATTACATTATACTAAATTCACGCACTATGTGTCAAGTCATGACGTGTAAATTGGTTCCTTTATTTTTTCCTGAGCAGAATTGACGATTGTACCACATGTTCGTTAGAAGTCCAGGTCTATATGAGCCATTTTATCATCACTTGTAACAATAGAACCGTTACTTCGGCCCCCCAATACGTAGCCGTGTTTTAGAGGATAAACAGATGAGTCCATTTCTGGCTGAGACTTGGAGACCTGGAATTCGCCTAAGATACGCTGGTTTTCGACTAACTGGCAGATATTCGGATATTAATAACAGCCCGTAGGACGCGTGCGATGAAACTTCCGATTCAAAAAGGATGTTGATGAAAACTTCACTGAACTCCTGTCGTTGCAATTGCTAGCAGACGCTTCCGTATTTTGGACAATCCCCACTTGTTGTCAAACGCATACTCTGGTAAGTAAAGGAAATTATCCAATTACCGTGCTTGCGTGTCTAAAAGAATTTCTCGCTGCTAAGAAGGCCCCAGGGGGGGGGGGTCCATTGCGGCAGCTTTTCGCATGTTCACCTAAGGTTCGAGTTCATCAACTGATCTCCTAAGGGTCGTCAGTGCTTTCTGACTACCATGTCGGCTTCTAGTCGTTCTTGATCTCGTCGGTAATGTGCCCATGACTACTACTACGATCAATAGTGGCTTTAGGTTATTATTTACGACCAATCCTAACGTCTGCAGCTTAAGCTTCGCAACCCAATAAGGAGTGTAGCATTTCGAAAAGCTTTATAGAATGCAGCCTAAGCATCACTGAAGAAAAACTGTATACAAACTGCGATTTGTGTAAAGGCTCTTTCACACGATAGCCAGTAAGCTTAAGGACCACTTGGCTTACGTTTACCCTTGAATACCATGGATTGTAGCACTTTTTATTATTCTACTAAAACACGACTACGCCTCAAACAAGCTTTAACATGGAACAACAAAGAAGGCCTGTGGAGTACACTAGTCCCAAGTCCCTGTATACGCCCAAAAAACCTAGGCCGGTTAACGGCCGGCTTCCTTCAAGAGTGCCTTTAGACAGCCGTCTTCAAATCAAACGGTCAGCCAAAGCGGAAGTATTCTCCAGCCCTAGATACTGTTTTCAAATTTGCTAAACCATTCTTAAACAGCCTTTTCGGCCATAGCGTTATTTCCAAACTGCATTAGTAGCGTTCTGGCTTCGACGAAGTGCATAGCAGAGAATGCACGAAAACAGCACGATGGTAACGCAGAAAGGGCGAACAGTATACTAAAGATTGATAACAAGTAAGGACAAGCGAAAAAAAAAAGCTTATTTTTTTTTTAAAAAGCGCGGGGTTCTTTTGTACTCATAAGAGCCGAAAGAATAGTGATTATAGCGAGAAGTGATTAGAGAGAAGTTCCTGTTAGATCGCCATTTGGGCTAATGTACATAATATATACATATAGGTAAAATTGAATTAATAAAGAAACTTTAATTGGCAGGAATTGCAAAAGGTTCCTCTTACCTTGTGCTTTTGGTCGAAAAGTGTGGAGCCGTAGTGGAGGGTAATAGTGATGATTCCTTTTGAAGACCTAATAATATAAATTAACAGCAGAACTAGAGTCGCTAATATCGCTAATATTTAAGTACTTTGATGGGAATGGCGTGAAACGGCGAAATCGTTGTACAACATTAATGGCTAGTGTGATGTGATGCTCGTACTAGGATAATAAAAATCAACACAATAGCGTAATAATAAAGCTACTTCAATAATGGTTCATATCGCAGGACCGTATACATCTTTGATTTGAACACAAATTTTATTCAGACGTAGTCCTTAGTGCCTTCTGTTGGGCTCGTAATGCATTTTTTTTTCTGTTTTATTTTTTTTTTCTATTTTTTTTTTGAACAAGCTGTATTCTATCTGGATATCTTGCACATCCAGCAGCCCCTCAGCCGACATAGAAGGCGATTATAAATATACTTTATTGAACAGGGCCGTGGATTTTATTGGAGATATTTCCGTTGATAGTCTAATAAAAACGTTCTCTATTTTATCACACATGAAGCACTTTATCATTACGTACGCCATCCTGTATAAATCACGCGTTAAGGCGACACAGTAAGTAAGCGAAACTATGGGAGTAGCCGCAAATGAACAATGAATAAGATAGTGTAGGATGCGCACTCACCTGATAAGATTTAATAGTTACAAAGTGAACGGTTGTACAACTAAGAGTAAGTACTATTCGATATTATTCAAATGTTCCCTAAATTATAAGGAAAAGTCTCTAATTTTAATAATCTTTGTCATTTAACAAAAAGGGCATTTCCACCATTTAGCAGGAGTTACTAGAGCCCTAGTTGATATAGAGAATCTAATTAGAAGCAAGCAAATAGCTCTTGTGTGCCTTAGTGGGGTCAGGTGGGGACAACGAAAACAAGAGCAGTTGGGGGTTATTTTGGTGACAGTATGTTTTACTGTGCAACTGTTATTTTGCTGTCTTCTGCTATTGCGGCTTTAATTGAATGGGCGAGAGAAGGAGGCTACCGTTACGCGTTTGTCTTATTAAACTGGTTCCCTTACTGTGTGCGTCATCGTTTCGTTAGGCACAGCCATGCAGAAAGCATAACGCGAAGTAGTCTCGGCGTGTGTTCCCACGGCCCTGTGACTCGATGAAGCTGTCAAGAGATGGGCGGCCTGCAAGGAACTGGCAGACACCATGGACAAATGACAACGTATATGAACCGAGCGGTAAACATTGGAAGACATATTTGCTCATATATAATTACATCTATATACATCTAGGAAAAATCTAACATATGTACTGAATTTGCGACATCAGCCAAAACGAACGTAACGGTAGGTTCTTGTGTACAAGATGACCCGCATTTGTAGAAGACGCATATTAAACTAACGATGATATAATTTAAGCAACTACTTAAGTCAAATAAAATCATTTAACCGTACACGCGTTTCCGAAGGCAGCCGCTCCTGTCGATCACATCAAAGCTTTTACAATCGCTAGATATGAATACTACTGCATAACTACTTTTGTGTGACTTGAACAAAAGGTCCTTTTTTGTGTCGTACAAGTTGTACATTTTCGGTGTTATTCCAAGTTTCTTAATATAATATTGTTAGATACTGCGTAGCAGTAACATGGCCACACACTGACCCGATATTGCCGATAGCGTATATTTCCGATGACAGTAATAATAATGCGAGTTGCTTGCTCTTATGAAGGTAATTATGCGCCCATGTAGAATCCTTGTTTATATAGTAGTACCAAAGTATTTTAAGCTGTATGTCTGGTACTGTCGTTAAGCAACGCTACAAGCATCAGCATTGCTCGTATACATAGCACTTTTATGCATCTCTATGTAGTCCTACGAGAACGCCTTGTTGTCTGGGGTGGATCTAGATGTTGTGGTAGCCGACGCACAAGTAAAAGAATTAGATTTAACCAAAAAGGAGATTACATGAGACTCATACGGGGAGCAATCGGCTACCTGCCGCACGAAACCGCCAGATCTGGACTGTGAAAACTTCCATCAAAGGCGTTCGGGACCTATAATGACAGTAGAAAAGGAGGCGAGGGCGTTAAAGCCGATAAAGGACTCTGGCAATGGCGTGCAACGATGGCCGGTTGCCCGCTGAATCTATTGCACTCTAAATTGCGAAGCACAAAGTTGCACGCAGGACGAGCGAATGCTGCGTGAACTCGGCATGAGTCGTAGCGATCGCCGAACGTTATGGCAAAGAAAATGCATGATCAGTAATTGTCAGCTCGAACGCGTACCCCACGAATGCCTGTATCATTTATAGCATATGTACTTATGTCTGAAAGCATAAATATATATATATATGATGTATTAGCAAGTCTCATTAACGTGCCCCGAAAGATTCGTGTGCGATCAACACGACATAAGCGTATATCTATAACTTAGAATATTTGTCAATACAAAGAACGATTTCCTCCAGTCCGATGTTGTTTGTAATTTTCGTATTGAAGTTCTTGATATATTTGCGCACGGGCAAGAATACGAACTCACATTGCCAATGATACGCCTTCCGTCTGAACGGTTTGTCGACAGCTCAACGTGTCGAACAATTACATTTCTGCACACATCGCGCACGATAGGCTCACCCCTCTGAAAGGATCATTGAATCAGTTGCCCATTTAGAAGTGCTTATGCAGACAGCAGCGTAATTATCTGTACGGTTGTACTATTGTGACATTACTGGCTGCAGTCGGCGGCGTTTATTCTGTCTGTATCTTCACTCGCCAATCGTCTCTAGCTTTGCCACTGTAGTGTAGTTCTATGGATGGCTTTTTCGTCATTTTGGACAATTTTAAGGTAATCAAATTACTGATACTTAAAAGCAGAAAGTTTTTCTGAGTTGCCAACTTACTGGTCTATTGATCATAGGTAGTAGTTGAGAATCTCTTTTTGCTACGCCTTATAGGGTCAAAATGTATACATAGCTTAACGAAAAGGAAAATAAGGAACCCCCCGCTACTCATCTTTTCTATAAAATACAATAATAGCCCTTTAGATTCACAAAAGTAAGAAGCGATGGGCGAATGAAAAATGCCTAAGCAGATTACCCATTCCAAATTTATTTTATAATGAATATAAATTATAAAATTCTGATGACGCTATTTAATAGCCGCTCAAGCTGGTCCATGAAAAATTTGCGGAATTATCGAGACGTACTAGCAAACACGTTTCAGGTTTACGGGAGTCTAAAATAGACAAAAACTTGGAGAGGTATTCTGTTACCAGCAGTCTACTATCGGTCCATGATTGATAACTAAGGCGCATACGCAGAGGACCGTTCCGTACAATACTTCAGTAGTAGAACCCAAGTATATTATTTGACGTAATCTCCGCCTATTTACATATAAATAAAACCTCTTTATAGAATATCATTACGATAATGTATATAATTGACCTCGGCTCTAAATTATAGCATCACTAACTATAGACGCCAAACGCATTGTGCTCATTTTTTTCATCAAACGTAACGATGAATACAGAGAGTAAAATTACGGTAGCTTTCCAAGCAAGTTTACCCAAAGCGTGTTCGTACTTTTATTTAGTTAACCGTATCTGAACTATAAGACAATCGAAAACAGCCTGGTGGAAAGTAGGAATACACAATGCACAACAAGAATTCCCTGAACCGAAGAACCAGGAAGATTTAATAAATGTTATCAATAAACAAATTATCTGATGCTTGTAGCGTTGTTGAAAAACGCTAACGAAAGGAGAACAGATCAGGAGGCAGAAGCGGTCCGACCGAAATCGAATTGATTTTGTTACTTAATACGGTAGACGGCCGATAAATTGGAAAAGCAACTGACACCGACGAAGAAATACAGACTAGTAATGAACGATAAAAAAAAATATCAGAGTCAGAATACAAAAACTAACAGATGGAGTAACAAAAAAAAGGTCCGGGACCTTTGCATTAGTGATGCGTTTAGGCATTTATTAATTATCCTTATTAAGCATCTGTCTCAATTATTAACAATTATCAATTGATAATTATTAGGATAACGGTAGTGGCTGATCGTTTCGCAATACTTTATGTATGTATATATATATTATAGTACCGAGCGGAGATCTATATGCAGCCACGTAGTTAGCAGTGGTTTGCGTGCTGTTATCTGAGCTCGAAGCGATATTAAAGAAGGCAAGGAAAAGGTAGCTCAAGAAACCCTTTTAAATTTTTTTGAGCTACCTTCTCTATAGAACCGCCGTGGAGAATGGAACGCTGTAATACAGACATAGTATTACCCTTTCTTGTCCCTCTCCCTTTGCCCTACATCCATCACCACTATTCGAGTGTTTTGTACTCCCATTAACATTGCTATTACTGAAGAGCCCCTGCTGGATAGGGAAAAGATGACACAGAAGCGGCTTTCGTTGCCGCTTCCTGTCATCTTTGCTTCGTTCGTGTGGCTTACCTACTTCCGGCAGGGTCAGTTCCTTTGACCTGTTACTAGATCCTAATTGACGGCAAAACTCGCAAAAATTCCTGTGATGTTTCAAAGGATGCTGTTGTCCATAATAAGTGTGCTTATTTAGAAAAACGAGACACCTAATTAATCGCAGACGTTGCCACAAATCAATACAGTCACGAAGCTCAGAGAGTTACAAAGCCTCAATATGGTTTATAGAACAGGGATGACTTGAGTGATATTTTTTAAAAGGGGAATATCTAGAGGACTCACTTCGTCTGGAAATATGATTTTCAGAGTTAGTTGATCACCTAGCAGCACAAGCCTTTTGTTAAAAAAGTCAAAATGCGATCGAAACTATTTGTTTAACTAATATATTGCTTGTGGCGCGTCGAGCGCTACAAATAACCTCGGATAAATTACGTATGAGGATTATGTTGTAGATTAGAAGTACTCACTCGGTCAGAACCAATCTCCAGATGCTGTAGATTGAAGTCTGTTTGCTTGGTCTTTACTGCAGCCAATACTTCAACAATCAGACCGAGATTCTTAAACCGGCGTGGTCTTCTAGAACGGCCACAGGTATGTATACGAAAAAATCTCAACCGGACGTGTGTAACAAAGTAAACTGTGCCTTTTCGAGATTAAAATCCCAGCGATCGAAAGTTTCATTGAACGTGCAACTTACCTTTCCGTTACACTCGATAGATGAAATTTTTTACTGACGACAAAGTTTTTATAGCTTTTTCATTCTACCAAATCCTGTTCTTCTGCAATAAAGCTACTCTGAACTGAGCTAATATCGCTGACATTTATCAACAAGAGATTGCTTCAATTCAACGTTATGCTTCGATCCGTCCGATCGATCCAGGTGCTGCTACGTCTTGATGTGTCAAATTTTCTTAATTATTAATTACTGTACAAAATGAATTTAGCGGAAACATAGTGTTGAATCTGAGTAATACTTACATTTTTTTTTTAAAGTTGTTTTTGAACTCTAGTTCAAATGCGTGATAGGTATTACAAGACAACAAATAGCTCCTCCTCTTATCCTCTTAGAATAGCAATTATCTTTAAAATGAAAGTGGCTTTTTATAGTAGTTTTGTGCGTCATTTTTCACTAGAATCATTATACGTTTATTCCTTTCAGGGCCATCTACTTTGAACAAGACTTTTCTGACCCCACTGATTATGGGCCCTAGCTTATAATCAGTGGCGTGTTCCATCTATTTAAAATTAAGATACGTCCCTCCCGTTCGTGGCCCCTTTACGACCCGTCTTGTCTCGTTTCGAGCGGGTCATAGGTTAACCGCCCACAAAGAGCCTGTACGAAGTAGTTCGTTATGGTCGAATGTTGCTACGGGCTACTCTCGTTTGCGGCCTGATCCTTCAGAGACATCATATAGAGCTAAACAACATTGTTACTATTATTAATACGCCATTCTACGTAGACTACTCGTGTGCCAACTCCTCTTCGACTTTGCATTTTGAAAATAACAAATAATAATTAGCATAACTGCAATCTACAAAGAAAATGTAATGGGTTTCTTGTTGCCTTAGCCGTTTTTGGGGGCTTTGGGTTTTTTTTCCCTAATTTCAGTTCAAATTTAGACATCACAGTACAACGTATTTCACAGAAACGGCGTATCCATTGCGGACAGAATTCACCTGTGTATGTAAGACCGAAATTCCTGTATCCTTTTATATCGTTACGTTTTTTAACGGGAATGGGGCTGACTAATGTCAATGTCAGTTAACTGGATGCTGTATTACATTGGCATGGTCATAAATTAACCGATGCAAACACTTGGCACCCAAATGGGAAGTCTATGTTTCAAAGCTGATCAGGAAAAAGGTGGGTGTTTACTAAATCAACCACCTCTTAATTATGTTGTTTGATAGAGAAGCCTTGGGTAAGTCGGAGACAGATCGTTTACAATGTTGGCACCCATATTCTTGTCAGCGCCTAGTAACACCTACGAACTACGGCACCTGTTCAAAGTAATCCTACTGTGAAAAAGCATATTTCCAGTCTACGAATCCTACCGTGGTTACACCTGGCCTGGTCCATATTTCGATTTCGTTTGCCCTTTTTGCGCCTTGAACAACTCGCCCTCGAAGACAATTGTACTAATCATAAAACTTCTAAATGTTCCAAGCCATTCATATCGCAAAGAACCCTTTATGAAGAGTCAAAACGCTACTGTCGTACGCTTCGTTTGGAAATTGCAGATTACAGGCATAATCCAACATAACTACCACTGGCCGATGCAGCTCACCACGATAAGCTATTATGCTTTAAGTTGAGATTAAAATGGACCTTTCTTACTTAACGCCCGTTTACGATTAGCGATAAACTATGTACAGCGGCTCCATCATTGCTGAGATGAACAGCACGCCGTACTTCGTTATCGGTGCTTAATCTCATAATACGACGCAAGGTCGTTCAACTTATTATGACTATATTATACTGTGTAGCTGATATACCGCGCATGGGCTCACAATTGGCGTATTTAACCAAGTGCCTTATATCAGACACCCTCTTAAGCTTTCCATTGGGAAATACTTGTAATAAGCTCAGTTACAGCACATGAGAATGTCTTATCGTCAGTTTCACCGAGGCAGACAATTGAAATCGAAGTGTGTAAGTAAGTAAGATTACGTTGGTCTATTCGGTCAGAACATTTGTCCATAGGGCACCTATGGTACAAACGAGATAATAGCGGACCTGCTTTGATTTGTGAGTACTAAAATCTGACACTTGTTAAAGTCTTCAGTTTTGTCAGACTTGATTTTGTGACAGTGTTGTAAGTTCTTAATCACAGAAGAGTGGCCACTTCAACGGCTTTGCTTCTCAACCCATGTGTTTACTGTTTGAAGCTCTTGAGCATTCATCGTATCAGTACTTGTTCCGAATGAGTGCGCCTAAACAAATATATATACACAGAGAAAAAGAAAAAAAGGAATCGTTTTAAGTTCGATGGTGAGATGGGTCCGAATGCCTATTGCTTCAGGTCATTTCTATTTGCCAATCAGGTAATATGATAACAGGAAAAAAACAAATATGGCGAGCTTCATAAACAGTAAAGCCTAAACTGAAAATTGGGCCTGTTCGCTTAGCAAAGGTCACTATAAAGGCCAGACAAAAACGATCAGTATCTCAAAATCGATGTTTATTAATTGAATTGACACCTTGGTGACGTTAGCGATCCGACAGATTTGATACTTTCATCCCTTCACGCTTTACCCTCTAAGAATTCTTTTATTAATTAACGAGAGGTTTGGAAAGTATTTCGCTTTAGGTCTTCAACTGAAACAACGTTAACGCTTGTTCACAATTCATATGAAACAGCAGGTTATATTAAGAGCCTTCTCCTTGTTCATAAAAATCCGTCCTGTCCTTCCGTTACGTTTTCCGCAAAAGTATTAACAAATTCCGCATCTTTAAACTGTCCATTCTTGCGAGGCACGTTCCTCGCCAAAGCGACTATTTTAATGTTGAAAAAACTGAGCTATAACAAATGGACAAAATGGCTCGCAGCGAAAGTTCCTGTTGAATTCTGTTCATCGATAAACAACGATCGCCCGTCATTAATAAATGATCATCCAACTGTTGTATTTTGCTATTAGACGAGAATATACTTCGTGCAGTAAATGCACAGATTGTTATCGCCGCCGTGAATTTTAGAATAGGTTAAGTAGAGCGTTATATAGAATGGGTCCCCTAGATTTCAGAAAGCTAAGTGACGATAATCGTAGACTGTAACATAAACCGGCTAAGCGGGCAAAGTATTTCATATTGCAGCTTTGTCATGCCGTTAACGTTAATCTGCTGTGCGCTACACTTTGTCATAAAAATGAGAGATACAGCGTTTCGTAGGGCAGTGTTTCCCGGCACGCAGATGCCCCTACTAGACCTTTGCCGTAGCAAGCACAGTTCTAGTAAAGTTAAATAGAAATAGATAGATAGTATTCGATCAGAACAACCTAGACAACAGCAGGGCCTAGATTAAGGATTACACAAAAGCAAGCACACGTGTTGTCTTCCGTTCCCCCTCGACGACAAATAAGGGCTAAATCAACAACATGCCTTGGACGCATCCAACAACAGCCTGACTAGCTATGTATACTTCCACTTTACTAACTCTCCTTCTATTATTGCATATGCCGCCGTTCCTGCTGCGGCTCCATTACAGCCATTACTACTGACGTATCTATAGTGACGAAATCAAATAATGACAATATTAATAGTCCGCACATACAATTTTTCCGGCTGGAGACGCCGCATCGCCTTTTGCAAAATGATCTCATACGTTTTCTTGGCAATGTGATTATCGATTGTCCAATAAGATGTATTCCGCCCAAATGTTTCGAGCTTTCCGCTCGGCACCGCCGCAACATTGGACGCCTGGCTACCATCACAAAGCAATGTGCGTCCATGCCCGAATTCGAACTTAGACCTCTACGTGACCTTGGCATGAGCAGGCAAATATGTTGCCCACTGAGTTGTTACGAGGAAAGTTCTGTGCTTATAGATTTCCCCTATCTCCTAATTTTGAATTCTATTCGGAACTCCCGTGTGGGCACATCGTTTGTTGTCTGAAAGCGTTCCCACAAAACAATTCCTCATCCTCCATTTCATAGGATCATTTCATATTAGCAGCTGGCACATATCGAGTAAGTTACCTTTGAGGTATACATTAAATACATTCTTTCACCTAGTTAGAAAAGATTTATTTTTATCCCATTGTACAAATAGGTTGAAAAAGTCATTCGAGCACTTTGCTGTAACTACAATAACAACTCTGGGGGATGGCGCCCGAGCTGATCCGGTACGTCCACTTCCGATAAGATACGATAAACTACCTCTGGCAATTCGTTATCTGAAACTAACAAAAAAGCTTCAGTCACGAACCCTGGCTACATAAATGCATCAGGGATGTGTACGCGACCGTCTTAGCTTAGTTCAGCCTTTGGAACCTTCCATGATGCATCTAGTAGTGTTGAAAAAGCAACGGATTCATTTCAAATCATGCACTATCACTTCTTATTGCCAGAACCCATCAGACCCATTTTTGGCTTTTACTTTAAAGCGCACAAGTTTTCACGCTCTGTGTAGCGATGGTCAAATGCTTATTGTTGTTATTGCTGTTACGATATAAAATCCTAAACAGGTATATAAGTTATGACCTACAACCGTCTGCGAGCGAATATCTTGAGCAAGCGGATTACGCATGATCTATGCGGGAGAACGTTCATATATGAATAGATCAACAAAAAGAAGACGTAGTAGAAACATATGGTAATTCGATTAGCGTATGATATCATACATCCTGTACAATGTCTCACTGCCACTTATTAGAGCACTTCACTGCCGCCGACCAGTACCAGCTAATTCTCAAGGAAGATTGTGCGTTTCAGAAGGATTATGATAGGGCCGACCTGTATCTCCCATTTGTTTCAGCTAGTTGGCGAAAATCAAAAGGCGGTGGATGGCTTTTTTTTTTCTTTCTTTGTTCTGAGGGTCGTGGCGATAGTCTGAGTGGCAAAAGGTCATTTGATTCTTTAGTGGACAAAATTGGACCAAGACCGTGGGCAAGCACATGAATAGATGAAACATGAAGGCTTCCAGTGAGCTGATTGTAAATACAAAATAAGAATATAAACTGACCAATCACCTTCACAAAAGTAGCAATGGAATTTCTCTGTATTTATATATATATATAAACAAAACCGATAGCCGCAAGAAGCATGCAGATACGACGAATTGCTAAGACATAAAATAATCACTAATACGGCGCATAAACGGTGTCATTTGATTTTGTTATGCTGAGGCCGATGGTCGCAGTCGTCGTAACGCCGCTGGTAGAGCAGCACCGATGCCGTCACTGTTCGTCTTTTTCCGTGCGTCCACCATCTAGCCAAACGGACATCTGTACAAACGAATGGATCCGGATGATACGAAGACGCGACGCCGTCCTAGCATCATTAGCAGCGGAGGACAATGACGTCGACGATATTGAAACAGAAGAAAAAGAAGAAGCGAAAAAGGCAAAGAAATAAAAGTAAAAACCGCACGGATGGCGAGGGGTAATAACAGATCCGTTGTCGTTTTCTGGAGCGGGAATCTCGTTTACGTTGAGTTGTATTGCCTTATCAATCATTGCGAGCCCCTGTATGCGTGCAAAGCTCTAGACTATACTACTTGACCCACTTGTCGTTAGGACCGTTTCACTGTTTTCGTCTACCTTCGCTCGCTTCCTACTGTTGTCACGAATCACGTTATTTAAAGTTGGCTAAATCGCCGAATACAACGAAATTGTTATGCAGGCGTCCAAGATAGAAGTAGCCGGCAAGTTTCTGGCATCTAGACTACGTTGATTTACCGTATTACTGCACAAATTAAGTTGTCACTTTTCGACGCTTACGATAGTATTAATTAGTTTAACATATCCTCACGATTTTGTCGTCTCAACTAGACCGTGTACTGCTATACGCAAACGTAATGAATCCAACTAATACAGCCTAGGTTGCGTCCCAACTTTGAGCTTCTGTTGGCCAACTGTTGTCCTGAAAGCATTACATTCTCCTCTACGATAGCTCATTCTCTATAAAACATCATTGAGCGCGAAGATAAGACACGCTAGCGCGTACTTAATACTTGTTTACAGAAACTACGACAGAACTTCAGCAAAAGGTTATCGTGGCGTTCGTATTTGTATTTGTTGGCATATCTGGAACAATCGTTGTGTTAGCCACAGATGGACAAAACAGCCTCTTCCAGAATCAGTTAAATTCTACCAATGGACAGCAGGTAATTGATCGTAACTCATGTTATTATCGTATTCCGGTACAATCTAACTAAACACGATGAAGCTTTTGTCTGTATTGTTTATTCGCGGCACGATATGAGCATATCTATTTTTCGATCGATGATATACAATACAGTTTGGCAAAAACATGTTCAACTATAATTATTACTTGTGCCTATTTTCTGTCCGTGTCTGGCCTGCATTGGCGGCGCTATTATGCTTATCTATCCGTTGCTAATAATCTGATAATCAAGGACCTTCTGTCACGTTCACTCTGCACTCAGGAGAAGATCAACAGAATCCCGTCTTGAATAAATAAATTATTTTCTATGCTTTTATTGTTAACAGCCCTATCCCTAAGCTGAGAAGCATCACTATTTGGAATAGATGTTGCTATTGAAGGGTTTTGTGAATGCCTGCATATCTAGACATGGATCAGATCTTGGCTGATCAAAAAGCGGTACGGATTTGCGCACCTGCCACATGTATAATACATGATACATGTGGGCCAGAAAATGGAAAAGAAGAATAATAAAATGAGACCTCTTTTACACACATGAAAAAATTTGTCAAGCAACAGGAACGAGATTAGCAATGTCCGTATGTATGTATGTACGTACACATAAACTGGTTATGACACGGGCGAAGACACTTGATGCAAAAACGCTGATTCGATCTTCCCTCCGTCGTACCTCTTCATTGCCCATCATCGGATAGTAGTAGTAATGGTAATTTAAGTAGTCCAAATATTTTACGTCAAATCTACGTATGGCGTTAAATACTGTTCGCCTAATGGCTTGATGTATTGATTGTGTGTAATATCAAAATATTTTCTATGTCATTTAGCGAGAAATTTACTGCACTAGCCCGCTTGGTAAAATGTCTCGAAATAGTAACTCGACAGCTGAGCAAATTCAAGCGAGGTTTTCAGTTTCAGCAAGTTTTTCAGCTATTTTTTAAATTCGACTTGGGTAGTAAATAACGAAACTGGACTCGTATCTGTTTATAAACACCCATTACAAGTATCTAGATAGAAAACAGAATAACCAGGTTCAAGCTCCAACGAAAGTAGCCCGAAATAGAACGGTTGACATTGTCATTGTATATTAAATCGGTTTGCTAAATAACAATATTTATATTTTATTTAAACATATGTTATAAGTTTTTGTTCGTACAAGATATGAGGTCAACGTGCCCGTTACTACAACGAAAGGAGCTCTATCAATGAGGCCGGTCCTGGTTATATACGAATCGAGATATGCAATAAACGTCGAGAGCGGAGATTCTGCTGACGTTGTCTCTTCAAAAAACTGTTAGTAAATTTTTTCCACCCCTATTAAATATACACTGTATTATTGTAGCCCTTTGTATATCGTTACGTTTCAGTCTCTTCTTTTATTCCGTATTTTTAGACGCCCGGTGCGCGCCTACATTGCGCTAGGAGAACGACAAGAGTTAAAGGTAAACAATTATTTTTGCAATTCTAGGTTAATAATAACGAAACGCATTAATTCGCTTTGGAAACTTCGGCAATCCTCCAGTCAGGTTTGTTTCCAAACTAACTTGTTTCTGTTAACTTTTTTGCTATAGTATACCCAGACACTAAACTGACCAAGGCTCTAAGCATGCTTACCCTTTGCTCGTTACTGTTATAATGATAATCTGCATTTTCCCAGCTTCATGATTAAACCTTGTGTGTACCATAAGAATCACCCGTAACATCTGCAATTTGTTAGTAGTAGCCTCGAGTACACAACAAGCACACTTCTATATAACAAATTCAACTAAGGGTGTCGATGTAACTACCAACTCCAAAGGAGCTCTTTCATTCATCTTGCCATAATTAAGCATTGCTTTGATTGGCCATCTTAAAAGGTCTCCAACTCCACTAAGCGGTCGCTGAGCTGCGTAGATTCCAAAATTTTTCCATTGAAAACAAAGATGTTAAAATGCTCATCACTAAAATTGGGTGATTGCTTCTAGAATTGTCTTTTGTTTTTTAGGTTTTCTTTAGGGTGAACCCATGGCTGTCCTCGGCGTCAGTTATACGCTTACATAGGTTTTCGTCGCCTGGTAGTGTGGTGTTCTTCTGTAGAAGAAGAACGAGAACTCGAAACGTTCTGCATCCTTCCAGCCGTCTGCATACTCGTACTTACGATAAGGTTGTTGTCATTATGAGCATATGATAGACATTGTAATGACACAAAACAAAAAGAGAAAACTCCCTAAAAATTAAATATTCTTAAGCAGAACCCTAACAGGTTTAACGTCTCTGTGACTATACCGTGTCCATTGTTTTCAACTATTATTTATTGCGAAAGGCCATGGTGGTATATCGCCGCTACAAACAAACTCACCTTATATAAAGGAGGATATTCAGACGAATCAGCTAGAATATATATATATATTCACATGGGGTCGTCCATGTTTGTCCCCCTACTAGTTAGGCTTAACTTCATTGCTACTTGGGTGTCATGAATGTGTTGTCGTTCTTAGTTAAGTTAGTCTGAAGAAATTTTAAATGGTTCGTAGTCCCCAGCAAAATTAGATTTCACTCGGAATAGAATGTGGCCTTCTACCATTCTTAAGCTAAACTCAATGTCCGAGGTACCAATCGAATAATGAAGCGTTCCAGCCAGCTATCTGTAAGCCGAGTTTTAACTTTACCGGCTACGATGGCGTATCTAAGGCCGACGCCAGTTGAATTTGTAACAAAAGGTTAGCCAAGATGGCTTGCATGTCCATTATCGCAAGCCTGTGACCAGTGTTCTTGGGTCCCATATCAAATATGCTTAATGCGCTCGTGTATTGTTCTTTGTGAACTTCCTCGTTTTTAAAAATTACCGCCACAAAAAATGTTTTGGATCCATCTGGATGGGGTGTACGGAAAATTCAACAAGCATAAATGGGCATTGAAAAATCACGACTAAACGCTATGTTAATGACATATTTGCTGGACAGAAATTTTGCATAGCTAAAATAATTGCAGGTTGTAATTTCCTCAAATAAATACTAGATACTGAGTAGTACCAAGCGCCATCTATCATATATTTTGTCATGTCCTTAAAATGTTCCGATGCTTTGTTAGACGGAAACCTCAGTCAAAATAAATACTTCGAAAGATTAAACGTTATAATGTAAAGAACTTAGTCTAATTACGACGGACGCAAGTTTCATCAGTTCATTTCTTTCCACTCTGGGCAGGTTAGATGTGTAATTACGTTATCCCAGAATAGATCGCCCGTCTGAAAACTGATAGTGCGCTGAAAAAAACTATCAAACCGCTTTATAACTACTTCTTTAGTAAGTTTCAGTTGTTACAAGCGAAACTTTTGGAAATAAGTAGCTTTTGAACTACTTAGGCTAAAATAATGATTGACATATATTAGAACTTCTCTCTTTTAATTTTTACGCAACTGTCCCAGTGTCCTGTTAATTTCTAGATAGCCATATCACCACTATTCGGGCTTTTACATGTCATTTTTTATCTATGGCTTCTCGAAGTATATCGATAATGCGGTATGCTTGCTTATTAGTTAGCCTTTTTTTGGCACGGAAAGCAGTAAAATTACACCAACCCTGAAAGAAACTGTGGCATGACGATAACGTCTGGCGTTTCACTGAGCAACCAGACTTCATGTTTTTAACCGTCCTATCAACGGTCCATGAGTCTTTTAAGGAACTTGAGATAGCGGGCTGTATTCATTGTTTGCTTTATGACGAGTATCTCACAGTAGTAAATGTCCGTGATGTCCACCGCAAGTACTACCATCATTTTACATCTGAATCCACCCGACATTGGCACCAAACTCGATTTTTCTCCAAGACGACGCCACTCCCTCGCCTGATCCTTTTCTTGTTTAAACTGATCTGGAATCAACTCATGAGATGTCCATTTTTACTCAGTCTCTACATTTTTAATGTTTAGGTTATAACCTGTCATAAGTTAGTAGAATGCCAGTTTTGGCCGACAAAGCTTTTAGAGTTTGAACGCGGCTTCCGTGAAAATCTTCCTCGATTACAGCAATGCATTCTTGTCCTTCGACTCCCGACATCTGATCACCTCTTCGTTGGTCTCCAACACTTTAATCTCCGTTCTTTAAACGTTTGCTTTTGTTGAAGGCCTTTTTGCCTATTCTCGATAGCTATTCTCGATATCCTTCGACAGCGCTGTGGCCTGCGAGGAACAAAAATTGTATCAATACGAATTGGTATCCGAGACTGGAACGTGTTTTTCCTTCTCAACTCTTTTTGTCTACAGTAACCTTAACCAGTTTTCATTCTCAAATTCTAGGAAGACTCAAATAGGTACCGGTCACCTTTTGTCTGCTTGAAGCATCGTCATTCAAAAGTTCTTCAGTTTCAAATTCCGCCGGGTCTACTTGTGACAGCCTAATATTAGGTTCGTTTTTGTTCCGAGATAGCTACCATACATTGGCCAATGGTAGTCTTGCTCATTCAGGGCCTAACCTGGTATTGAAAAGCCATTAATGTGCGGTATCACCATCTAGGAAGTAGCTAGTATGGCACTCCTTATGATGTCCAAAACAATGGGACCATTACCGTTTTAGCGGTAACCATAATCGCAATAAATAACACCAATATCAGAACATCATGAACATTTTTTTTCCGATTACAGAAAGCCAGTCTCAAGAACGAAGTGTCGTCAAAAACAGCGACCATCAAAAACAAAGCATCGTCAAACAAAGGTCCGCTTTCCGTAATGGAATGTAGAACATCCGCCGAATAAAGCGACCCTGAAAGATTACACTTATATTAGAAGAGTCTAAGACATACTTATCTGTTTTCGCATCGGTCGTATCAATACATTTATTCAACCTCTTGCATAAAAGAGAATGTTCAAATCACTGCCTTAGGTGTATCCAGTGGCAGTATTGGATGTCCGGAAAGTACGCTCTTGCGTTACTTCGAATCTTCCCTTCGGCTAGCTACCCACTTCGATCGTGAGCGGTCGCATTTGAATTTTTCGTAGTTTACCGCCACTTCAGTAGTGCAATTTTCCGCTAAAATAAGCCGGTTACTTGATATAGGGAAATACCAGAAATGTCGTCACATCGAACTTTAACCACTGAAGAACCATTCTAAACCGTGAAACGAATGACACTAATGTTGTCTAAAAGGCAGAACAGCCGAGATATTTCCAGTTAATAGTTTCGGACCGCAGAATCGATATCGAACAGTCAGGCCAAACTGCTTACGAGGGCTGTGGGATTAATTGCGGTAGCGTCTACTAGTCTAGTATGCATGACCGTTCTTGGCTTTCATGTTTGGAAGATTTGAAATGCAATAGAACCTCAGCCCGTTAGTCGCACATCAGATCATATTGTAGCCGGCGAAGTCTTCAGAATACTTATTGCGAGTTCGTAAAATGTATCCAACCGTTGTATAAAGCAAAATGACGGAGTTATAACATGTGTACGGTAATGAGCTCGTTGGAATTGGAGAAGTATGGCCTGTGTGGATCATAGAGCGTTGTGAAAATGCACACTCTGAAAATCGTTCTAAGAACTCGGATAGATAGGTATACGCCAGATACGATTCTTAGTACTGATTCAATTAAAATCAATAGTGGGCGCAGAGCAAAGCCAGTACTTGAGAACTGTTTTAGCAGGAGGTAAGAAACAGTCTTGCTACTGAGTACCACTTTTGCTTACGTATGCTTTGACGCTATTATTCTATAAACGCCATTAAAGTTGACTGAACTTCTTGTTTTCAACGAGCCGCGCACTAACACGAAGCTGATAATAATCTTTGGTCGTTGGTTGTGCCCAGCGGATTTGTCCGGGGTCTTGACTTCAGTGGAGCTATAAAGCTCTACTGAATAATTAGATGAATATTTCATGCAGATGAATGATCAGAACGCCCTATGACCAACACAAAAGTAACATCGCTACTTAGCGTCATAATCCAGTTGCCATTTTTCTGGCTCAAGGTCACGTATTAATAAAGCAAGATCAGTAGATGTGAACCGGCTCTACACGCCTCAGTTGAGTCCGGTAAACATTAAAGCATATCTCATTTGCATAGTTGAAACTATGTGTGGGCTAAGAAGGAATCATCAGGCCTGAGCGAGCATGTGACCTCATCAAAGGAGGCTGACATGTACGTTTCCGAGGGAACCGCTGCTA